GCTACTTGGCCTCTAAAAGCCCAAGTAATACGCTCGAGCTCCTCCAAAGGACTTGAGCTACTTGGCCCTCAATCGCCCAAGTAATACGCCTCGAGCTCCACTGCAGGGCTCGAGCTACTTGGCCTCTAAAAGCCCAAGTAATACGCTCGAGCTCCTCCAAAGGACTCGAGCTACTTGGCCCTCAATCGCCCAAGTAATACGCCTCGAGCTCCGCCAAAGGACTCGAGCTACTTGGCCTCTAAAAGCCCAAGTAATACGCTCGAGCTCCTCAAAAGGACTCGAGCTGCTTGGCCCTCAATCGCCCAAGTAATACGCTCGAGCTCCTCAAAAGGACTCGAGCTACTTGGCCCTCAAATTGCCCAAGTAATACGCTCGAGCTCCACTGCCGGGCTCGAGCTACTTGGCCCTCAAATTGCCCAAGTAATACGCTCGAGCTCCACTGCAGGGCTCGAGCTACTTGGCCCTCAAATTGCCCAAGTAATACGCTCGAGCTCCACTACAGGGCTCGAGCTACTTGGCCCTCAAATTGCCTAAGTAATACGCTCAAGCTCCTCCAAAGGACTCGAGCTACTTGGCCCTCAATTGCCCAAGTAACACGCCCGAGCCATTCCAATGGACTCGAGCTACTTGGTCATCGACATGCCCAATTACACACCCGATCTCGCTTATGCAATAAAAATACTCGAAGTGCAATATAATAAGCATAAAAATACTCGAGCACGATAACAAAGAAACATCATTTCATTCATTCATGCCACGTCGGGCAACAAAGTTACATTTTCAAAAAAAAAAAGGGTGCGTTAAAATACAAAAGAAGATCGGGGAGGCCTAGTCTAGATCAGCAACATCCACGCCGGCGATGTCCTCGACCTCTTCGTCAACGTTATCCTCGGTCTTCGACGCAGAAAGCTTGAGCTCGTTGGCAAGCTCGCTGACAGACTTCAGGTCGTCAATGACGGGCTTCACATCATCAGGCAGTTTCGTCCTCAGAAAAGATCGGGCCAACCTCAGCCCATAATGAAACGAGCCCGAGCCATACTCCCCGAGCAGTGTCTTCTGCT